CGAAGCGTCAAAGTGGACTCATAATAGAACCAGTTCAAATAAACGATAGTAAGATAATAGACATCGTTCTCAAGCTCGTCCAAGGTGTCATCAAATGCCTTACTTTTCCTTTGCGGCGGCTCAAGTGACGGAGAGTGCGGGTCATCTCAGTAGGTTCGAAGTCTTCAGAGTGAACTTTAACATTCGAAGGAACCGCAGTCTCAGTCGTGGCATGTGGAGATTCCGAAAAAGAGGATTTGTTGGTTGCGCCCTCCTCGTCATCTGTCTTGTCGAAGTCTCCCTTGGTCGCTATGGTTGTAGAGGTTTGAACACCAGACGTATACCCCTTAGGTGGTGCAGATGTTGTTGGAACAACAGTGGGTACCGTAGGCAGACCAGAGGTTAATATATAGGTATTTCAACAACGATAACAGGCGCATGTGGTGGCTGTGAGGAGACGATCGGAGTAGGAGTGATGTCTGACGCTGGTGGAGTCACGGTTGGGGACAGACCTGGCATAGGTAGAGGTACGAACGAGGGAATTGAAAGTGGAATGGAACTCCGTATGTGACTCCTTATGTACAACAAGATGCATTTAATATTTATTACTTTGATTTAACTAATAGTGAGATCCAATGACTTGGTCAATAAACTAGGTGATTGAGTAATAAATTTTAAGTGCATTATGGCTATATTTGGTAAAACTAGCTGATAAGCTAGCTTATAGCTTATTTGTAATTTCGAGCTTATAACTTATGACTTATAGCTGAAAAAAGCTAGCTTATATGATAAAAGTGTTTAGTAAAATTAGCTGATAAGCTAGCTGAAATAAAAAATTCAACTAGCTTATTTGAAAAGCTACCAAAAGTAACTTATGAGATAAGCTCGAGCTTTTCAAACGAGGCTTATTTGAATACAGGAAACTTATAAGCTAACCAAATAAGGCATAAGCTAGCTAATTTGGCTACCAAGCCTATGTTGTGTTGAAATTATTTACAGTCACTATGTCACGGTGCGCTGGGTCGATGACGTCCCTAAAATGAGCTTAATACGTTCGTTATGCTAAACCCTGCAGGTGGATTAAGTTCCGACATAATGAAAAAGTTGAGTGGTACTAATTTCCGACAGAATAAGTTGATTAATCATATTGTCAGTAATTAGATTAATCAACGGAAGTTAAATTTTAAATACGGGGAGCTAAATCAAATAGATAAGTCCGGAGATGAATTATTGTAATTTAGGGTTAAATTAGAAAGTTCGATAATATTTCTTTAGTGGAATGAAGTATTATTCGTCTGTGAATGGTGTAGGAGAACCAACGTTTGTGTTCACGTTGGAGTTTGTGTTCACACAAGGGAAGTCCTAATTTAACACCTCATATTGGTTCATGTTGTAGCCTGTAAAAACGTTAAGTCCCTCATCTTATCTCGGTTCCCACACTTTATTTTTCACGTATAATTACTCAGAAAACACACTTTAAAAAACGTGAGAGAACACATGGAGATTTAGACAAGAAAATTGAAGACAATTCGGTCTTCTTTGTTCTTTCCCAAGATCAATCGGTGGTGAGACTTGGGATGGGAAGATCCACAAAGCCTTTGCCCACAAAGACGAGCGAGAAGAGGTGTAAGGATATACAACAGAAGATTGTGAGGTCAACTTGTTAATCTAGTCCCGAAGACAGCGTAAGACATCTCAGAGTCTACAATTTTAAACAATAAGATTCGAATTCATTGTTAGTTATGCGGCGCATAGGGTTCTATATTTTAGATTGTCAATTGATTCAAAGCGTGACCAACTGATATTCTTCACCAACCCAACACAAGGGTCATCTGAAAGAAAACGAGAAAAAGCAATAGAGTTGTGAGGTAAAAAAAACATCTTTTCTGCCACCTCTTAAAATCACTATTGTTAAAGTTCAATGGTCTTTCGCCTTGAGTGGGGACGGCTACCATGGGAGTAAATGAATTTGTAGCCAGCGTAGCACTCGATTTAGCACTTGGAGAAGTCATGGTTTCATTCAGTTGCCATATTTTGAACTCAAAAAAATTTTGTTCTAAGATTATTATTTGATGGTATGTGAATGTCAAGATAATGGCTAAAGGAAGATGATGAAAACAAAAACAAAAATCAAAGTTCAGTCACATAATAATTACGTAGGCAAGTAATAATTACGTTTTTCTTAAGACGAAATTTTCCTGTAAAATACCCACTGTAAAATATCCACGGTTAAGGGCAAACTTCTCTATTATACAACGACTTATGACTTGTTATACAGGTATTTCGAATGTACAAGCATTCGACTCACAATATCAATGTTTAAAAACTCCCAAAACTCAATGAAACGAACAAAGAACACAATATGCCTATATGAACTTTGAAAAATGTAATGTCAGATATCTTTAATTGCAAATTGTAAAGCAAAATTCGTATTATTGAATTTATAAACACGAGAAATTCGTACAAATTGATTTCAACGGATCAAAATGAAATATAGTGGATTACAAATCTCTATTATTCCTCTGATTAATTTCTTCAAGAGCAATCTTCAAGTGGATTTGAGACTTTTGGACACGAATCTTCAATTTGATCTCCGTCGGTCTTGAATTTGAATTTAAATAACGTTTCTTCGAGGGCTTGACAGCTTGTTTCAAGATTGAACGTCGGTCTTGAGCTTGAACGCGCTTGAATCTTCCTTCGGACCTTCAAGAACGCTTCAAGAACACTTGAATCTCGTTGAGAGAATTCTCCAGAGCTCTTGAACTTGGAACTTGAATTGTGAATATGAATTGTGATTTTTGACCTTAGGATGAGCCTCTATTTATAGGTATTAGGAGAGAGAGTCTTGGAAAAGAAGACTTCAATTTGATTGGTCTATAATTTTTAATATTTATTTATTATTTAAAGAGATAATTAGGAGATGGAGTCTTGGAAAAAAATACTTCAATTTGATTGGTCCATGAATATTTATCTCTTTAATAATTATTAAAAGAAATAATTATTTATTTTACTCTCCAAGAAAATGACATGTGGCATTCCTTAATTGGACTTCAAAATATACATGTGACATTCTTTAATTGGCCTTCAAAATATACATGTGGCATTCTTTAATTGGCCAACAATATATATTAAATAATCAATTAATTAACTATTTAATTTAGGAATTAAAATTTGATTAATTTCTCAAATAAAATAAAAAATTATTAAATTGACTATGACATGGAATTTGACACTTGTCGCCATTTTATTGGCTCAAAATTTAATTGTCTACACAAATATTTGAATGATTCATGCATGAGGGTATTTAATAAGTAGGAATAACACCTCCAGATGGTTTGAATGTGAAAAANAAAAAAAAAAAAAAAAACATTTTGGGATGTAATTCACGAGAATGGATGCACCCGAAAGCCAAAAGACAACTTATAGACACTACGGAGCACGGCCCGTTACTGTCTGCAACAAGCATTGCACCCGACAACTAAAATATGGTCACGACCTATCAGGGGCGAAACCAAAAAATTAGTTGAGAGAGGGCAAAAGACATGACATAATGGGTTTATAATCGATAACATTTCGATAACTGATTTTCGGTTACCGTTACACATAAGTCGGTCCAGTTCGGTTTATTTTCTCATCAGCTTGGTGCGGTTCGGTTTTCGGTAATCGGTCAAAAAATACCAATCCTAGCCTAGGCAATTCAAGAGAGTTGAAGTCTTTTATATGGGTCAATTAAAAGTGTAGAATGATAATAATTAATATACAAAATTAATAGTAAAATAAAAGAAGTGTTGAATTGTTAATTGACAATTATGGACAAGTTAGCTTGGTGAGTGACGTTTAAAACCAAAAAATCTGGAGGTGCAAAAATAAATTTAAACGGGAGGCAAATTAAAATTTTTAATATTAATAGTAAAAAAAAATTAAAATTTGAGGGGGGACAATTGCCCCCCTATGAGTACATGTAGCTTCGCCAATGCGACCGGTAGTTGAAAAACCATCGCAGGGCCGCAAAAGGGCTAGTTGCGCGCTCACGTGCTGTGAGCCTGTACGCACACATCTGAGCTTAAGAAACTTTCCAGTTGGATTTACTCGCCCCAACAAGTCCTATTTGAGTTCTAGCATACTTTGGTGCATGATTATAGCTCATTTAGCTTACCCGAGCAGACCAAACGCTTGTACAGACCAAGCGCTTGCAGACCCAACATTTTCTTAGTTCATTAAACTTGTATTTTTTTTTCACATATACTACATAAAATTAATTTCTCATTAACGGTAAAACAATTCAAAGAATTTTTTAAATTGACATTTACGAAACATAAAACCATAAAATACGTACAAAGCCATTTTTTTTTTACATTTTCATAGTTGGATAGAGAATGTGATAAGCCAATCATCTTTTTTCAATAAATGCGACAAATTAACATTTCATTATATAAATCTAAATTTTGTTTACAATAATATGATCGCCGTAACTGTTAGGCTAGAACACATATAATATTTTAGGCTTTCACGTTCTCCAGGAATGGTAAATTGAAGAGCAAGGAATCATAGCCAAATAATCTCCATGCCTTCGTCATTCAGATACCACTCAAACTAAAATTTAGCTTAGCGATAACAAGACTGCAAATCATGGAATGAAATTTTCTGATCCACTTTCATGTTCCGTTTCATATTCTATTTCATTAGATAAATGATACATGTACATGATGATGACGTATTTATACACGTGTCAATCATACAACAAAATAGAATACAAAATTAAACATCAAAGTGGAACAAGAAATCTGATCCCGCATATCACACATGTACTCTTCAATAGTAGGACGCTTCAGGAATCCAATCTTATGAAAGGACTAATAATGCACATGCCAAACCCCCCGAGCATAGGCAGGTTGCTTTGACCACCCACTCTCCAAGGGTCGGAGGCTTGGGGTCCAGGATTAGTCTAGATATC